CTTCCATCTGTTCTTCAAATCTATCTTAAACAACAACTAGATATCATTCCATCAGAACCTCTGCTTTCTCATAACTCTGTTTTTACCCCCTACACTTCTACACCATTTGATGTCATTCCCTCTGCATCAAATTTTAAACCATTTCTATTTCCCACTTCATCTTCATCCAGATTCAGAAATTTCACTTCATCATCTGAACATCCCTCTTTACCCTCTTATCCTCGTCCTCTGTTCATCATCCCAACTTTCACCATACCACCTCCACCAGAACAACCCAAACCAACACCTCTGGAAGCCTACCTTAAACCCAAATCCAGATTAGATGTTGATGCCTTATTTGCTAGTTTTAAGAAAGAAATAAGGATGAGTTTGAATTATGTTCAAGAGGAATGTCTCTCAAGCATTAATCCAGAAGCTTCTGAAGAATGCTGGGATAAGTTCATTGCCAGATTCAACGTTGTTGCTTCAAATCTGAAGAGTGTCTACTCTGATGATGCGAAGATCAGATTCGCTGAGATTACCAGAACAATGCTTTGGAATGTGACAATATCTCCTACATTGCTTCTTAAGGTTGCACCTTCTACTTCTAGAGTTACTGCTACCTCTGAGACTCTTGAAGAATCTGCTTCTGAAGTCATTCTGGAAGAAAATCCTTTAGCTCTGATGATTGTGGATAAATCATCTGAATCTGTGCCTCCAGAATCTGCAATTGCAATGGTCATTGACTCTGCTCCTACTCCTGCATCAGAATCTGCTCCGTCTACTTCTTCTGAGATTAAGAAAGAGAACCCAAACTTAGAAGATAAGATTGCTGTGCTGGAAGCTGGTCAATCTGAGATAAAGTCCTGGATGGCAAGGCAAGATCAGAAGACTGACAATATTGAGAAATGGATGTCCAAGCAAGAAGAATCTTCATCTAAGATCACACACCTTCTAAAGATGTTTCTCTCCAAATAATCTTAGATTTATGTTTTCTTTATCTGATGTTTGAGCACTTGTTCTGCATTTCTCATCTGATGTTTTATTATCTAAATATTTGAATGAATGATTCTGAATGTTTTCTTTATATGATTGTATCTTTTCTCTCTGTTCCTTTTCTTTGTCTTTAAAAAAGTTTCTTTTTGATTATGACAAAAAGGGGGAGAAAATAAAATTCTGACTGTTCAAATAAACTTTACCTGAATGGAATTCAGACATATCAAATCACAACTAACATGAATTTTTAGTCTTTCAGAACTACAATGATAAATCTGACAAAATTCTTTAAAGTAACTCTGAGATCCCCAGATCAAGTTTTAACCAATCAGGCTCTGATTCTGAAACGTTCATCCAAATCAAGCTCTGATTCTGAAAAGAATACTCATGCAAAAAGGGAAGTTTCTATTCTTTCTCAGTATTCAATTCAGGGGGAGATTCATAATCTCAGGGGGAGTTATATTTTTCTCTTTATTGAACAAAATTTCCTATGTTTTTGTCATCATCAAAAAGGGGGAGATAGTTAGAACACAAATTGGTTCTTAGTTACATCTCTATGTTTTGATGATAACACTAATGAAATTTTGTATTAAGAAATTATATACTCTAAATTTGTTCAAGTATTTTTGCTGCAAATATTAAATTCAATATTCTTCTGAAAGAAAAAATAGATCTGAACGTTGAACTACGCAAGGCTCTGAGCGTCAGAAGCATCTCATTAAAAGACTCTGAGCGCTGCCTACAGAAGACTCTGAGCGCTGCCTACAGAAGACTCTGAAGCAGAAGCTACAGAAGCATCTGAAGCGTAGACTGAAGACTTTGTATGAAGAGTTTCAGGCACTGTTTTTCAGAAGACTTTGATAGTACTGTTCGCTGCAAGTACTGAGGATCTGATCTCCAAACTCTGCTCTGACTATTACTCACGCTGAAGCACACTTGCTGCAACACTCTGATACAACAAACTCTGAAGACATCAAGACTCTGATCACTCAAGACTCTGATGTTGATTGTTGTGAGATAGAAACTTGTTGAAGAATATTATTCAAAGTTATATCCGTTGGTTATGCCAAACGACTCTTTCCTTTTTCATGCTAGACACAAGAACTCAGGCAAAAAGGATTTCTCTGAACGTTCTATTTCTAGGAAAGGTCAAGTGATGTGAAGACAAAATGCTACAGCTACTTTGTAGTACACGGTCTTCAAGCTTGCAACGTATTGGACTTCTTTGTCTATATAAGCAAGACTTCAACAACTTTCTAGAGTTGACGTATTTTGAAAAATCAAGTGAAAACTCTCTTAAAGCTCTCATACAAATTATTATTTCTTTGTTGAATAGTTTCATACGTTCTTAAACTTAATTGTAAATCACTGTTGTGATATAGCTTTCTTAGAAGCATTTTAAACACTTGTTTAGTTTACATTTGATTGTAAAAGTTCCTTAAGAAGACCAAGTTGTGGTCAGTAGTTCTTGAGAAGACTAAGACAATTGTTCTTAGTGGTTGATATTGTAATCAGTTTAATTGTAGTGGATTAAGTCTTTGTGGAGAAAGACAAATCACTCTTGATAGGGTGGACTGGATTAGTTGAGTTCAACAAACCAGGATAAAAATCACTGTGTTTTTATTGCCATAATATTTTGAAAACCCTTATTCAACCCCCCTTCTAAGTATCCCTTCTAAGTATTTTCTCACCTTCACACCAAACTTTTCACGGTTAACAAATGAATTCTAAATCTCTTCAGAATTCTATTTTGTCCAACTTAGTCTTGGGCCTCCCAAATTGGGCTTTTGCCTCATTACCCTTACTAACTCCTCCAAATACCCAAATTACCCTTATTCCACTTATATTCCTTTTAATTAATAATAATACTAATAATTTAATATTATATACTATTAATCAATTAAATAGTCCAAAATGCACATTTTCTCAATACTTCACAAAACCGCCGAAAATTATCGAAAACAATTATTCTCAATTAAATAAATAAATTAAAATATTTCAATTAAATTTGATGATATATATTTAAGAGGAGCTATGCATTGATGCTCCAAAGGGTTCTTACTAGGGTGATCTTCCGATGTAGATTGTGTGCAATGAAGAAATTGCACTTAGATATTAGTTTTTATTTTAAGCACTATTATATAACATGTGTCATAGATGTATTTTATTTGAACATATGTAGATGATGCCATTAGACTCTTATATTATATAAATATAAAAAATTAATACTTATATAATATTATTTTAGATATATATTATCCCTAAGTGTTACATTTATTTTTGTTGGAAAAAACTTTGTAACATTACAAAATACATATCATTAATAAACAAATTGTTGAAATGGATGTGTTATGATAAATGTTGGTTTAAAAGATTATGAACAATTTGTTATTGCATGTGATGATTTCTTAACTTTATTGTTTCATCTATTTTAAATATTCTTATTTTTCTTTTTTATTTTATCATTAACTCAATTTATGTCGATCATTCTCTCTCTAATAACTATTATCACCACTAACTTATTTTATTTTATTTTTCTATTTTTAATTTAAGAAACTTCAATAAAAATAGGAAAAGAGATAAAAAAAATAGGGGACAAAACCAAACCCATAAATTAAATATGGAGTACGATCATCAGTTACTCATTTTATTTCGAAACTTAATTTCTCATCTTCATTAATCTATTAAAAGTTTCATCATATTTTCAAACATAACGTCCCTTTTTTAATTTATTAGTTTTTTTTTCAATAGATATTTTATATTCATGTTCAAATGATAATAATGTTAATGTTATTAAGTAATTTTTTTCTAAAATTTTAGGATTTTAAAAAATAATGTTCTTTTATTAATTTTTAAGAAAATGACAATAATAATATTTAGTTAGACTTACATATTGAAAAAAGTAAAGGTAATTACATTTAAAAAAAAGTAAAGGTAATGTTATTATTTTTTCACACAAAAAGGTAATATAAAATTTTAAAATCTAATTATTTTTAGAAAAAAATAATTTATTACAAAATTATAGGCACCATAAATAAATAAAAAATATATTATAAAAGTCATAATTTATTTTAACAAGTATGTTTAGGTTGAACTTTACACTTTGAGATTACAAAATCAATTTTTTATACCTTCTCAATTTTGGTTGAATCATTATATATTTTATTAGAATTTATATGCGTATATTAAAAAAAAATTAAATAATATAATTTACAAAAATAATCCTATAACATTAATTGTAGAGATCTAGTTTTAAATAATATTTTTTTAATTGATATGTATCCATCGTGCATAAAAACTATTTTAATTTTTTTTGGTATCAATAGTGCATAATAATTAATTTCTTTTTAAAATTAAAAATTAAAAATTGAGAAAAATCTAAAATAGTTTATTGTAGGTAAAACATAAATCTTAACAATAACTTTAATTGATCATTTAAATCTGAATATTCTTTTTGTTTTTTTTTTAATAAAAAATTGAGCAAGGATCAAAAATAATAATTAAAGAATTAGGGTTGAAAGAAAAATAAAACAGAACGAGCTTTTTATAAGGAACTTGTTGAAGTTTTAAAATAAAACAGAACGAGCTTTTTATAAGGAGCTCGCTGAGTTTTAAAATCCTTAACCCCTTTCCCCATATTAACGGCATATAGTGTTCACGGCCGTCACAGAGTGTTAACGTCTCCGGCTCCCTCATCATCATCTGTAACGTCTTCACGTTCATCCCTCCGCCGCCTCACCAATTACCGTTCCATTACACGTTCATCCCTCCGCCGCTTCCAACAGAACCTCAGTGTGGTGCTCGAATCCTACGTCGCGAACGTGCTACAGGAAAACACCAACGGCGCCGAGTTTAGTGTGCTACCGGCAAACACTAACGACGGTGAGTTTAGCTGCTGGTTGAACTCTTGAATCCACATTTTAATTTCATTCAGCAATCCTTTTTTCTTCCTTACTCTTGCTCTTTTTGTATTTTCTAACTTCCTTTTGGTGTATGCAGAGAAATCATCTAAACCAAACCCTAACATGATGAAGAGGTGTAATCAAGCCCCTCCTACTTCTTCCAATCTGAAAAGGTAACATTAATAGACTAATACTACTACTAATTTTTGTTTATAGCATTGGTTGATTTTCATTCTCTTTTACGCTCTCATTGCAATCAGCTTCTGAATAGATTTAATCAAATTGTCTTTTTTCGGTGCAACAAATTTAAGGTCTTTAACCTTTCATTGATCATCATTATCATCATTGTATATTGCTGAAGATGAAGACACGTGTACACAGAAAGGTGTGCATGTGTAAGAATGTTTCAATGCCTAATTAAAGTACTAATGTATTACTTTTAGAATATTTAGTTCTAATGTGGTTGGAAAAAAGAAAAGAAAAAAAGAACAGGCGGTATCCATTATTATCGTAGATGTGTTTGAGTTGCGTCCAAGGAGTGCCCAAGGTGTGTTGAAACACTAAGGCTTTGTTTGGGATTTTGGAGGGGAGGGTTTTTGAAAACGAATTTTTAAATAAATATAGAAAAATATTTGACATTTTTTGAAAGAATGATTTTGTATAGAATGATAAAAGAATGTTAATCATTACTATATTTTTAATTTTCATAATACTATAACAACATAAAATATATTTGGAAAATTTCTGCAAGCCCTCCAAAACCCTCCAAAACTCTTCTTCAATACAAATTTTAGGGTTTTTTGGTGTTATGAATAAAACCAAACCCTCCAAAACCCTCCCAACCAAAACCCTTCATTTCTTTCCACTCAATCCTTCCCTTTTTTCGAAGCTCTCCCCTCCATTCCCTTCCAAACAGGCCCTAGAAGATTTTTTTTTTCAAAGCCTTATCCTAGTATTGTTTGTGCTTCATAGCATAAGAATGTAAAGTAAATTCAGATGCTCCTATTTTGAGCTGAACTCTTTCTGGCTTCAGCTATTTTGTATAGTGAAGCTTGCTTCTAATTCTGTTTATGCGTGCGTGTGTGCAAAATTTGAGCTACACTTGTTCATAACAAATTACTACCTTGTTTAAATGATTTAATGTTTTATCATGCTCATCTAACAACACACTTTTATGAAATTCACATTGCTCTGCCTGTATTATCAGGAAAAAGAAAGAAGATAATGGTAAGGAAAAAAAGAAAGGTAGAAGGGAGGAGAAAGCGATAAATGTTGACATCATTGAATCTGAGAGCTTGCTGGAGAATGACAGTGATGGAGAAGGTTTGATTAAACACGTCTTTTTATTACTTGTTTATCATGACTTTATTATGGGGTTTGTGATGATGTTATAGGAATAAGCTCACAAAAAAAAAGATGTTTTTAGAATAAGTCGCGTGATTATGAGTAAAAACAGTCCCAGTAGAGACAAAGTTGGCGTAGCTCCCATTTTAAAAATGATGGAATGGAAGAGTTCCTATTAGGCAGTTTGACATATGTGTGGAAGACTCGTAGAAGCACCTGGAAAGAGGGTATACTAGATGAAGGATAATTCATTAGTTAGACACAAGGTTAAGGAAGACTATAGGTCAGTTCATTAAGAAATAAGTGGTTTATTTTTAGTCATGATTTATCATCAAACATTCAGGCATTATGTGATCCATTTAGCTGATCTCACACCTAGGGAAAGGGTTTTGTGATTGTTGTTCATCGTCATAGAAGTACAAGTAAAGTCCTTTTGTTAGACTGTGATTAATGATTTGTTTTCAGTAGTCTTCCCTTCATATTTGACAGCATAAGATAATTATATATTTGTGAAATATGTGTTGGATGATTTTGTTAATTTGTACCATTCTTAGGGTTTGATGATGATTCTCATAGAAGCAATGTTGTGGAAAGCATGCTGCAAGATCCCGACGACAATGATTCTGGATTAATAGAAGGTTCTGAGACCGAAGAGGACATTGAGTTTTCTTATTCAGATGAAGAGGATATTAGGACAAATGGTGGAGCAACATCTAAGGATTCAAAGGATTTGAGGTTTGTAAAGTTAAATATCTTCTCTTGTTTGGGATAGAAAAGTTTTCATTTGAGATAAGAAAAAAAAATTAACAGAGCTAAGCGGCTGATAGATGCACCAAAGCTCTTCAATCTCAGTTCCAATTAGAAATGGAAATTGCTATATCTGTTCATGCTTTTAAAATTTTTTTTCCACAACTGATTTCCATGTTAAATTCTATTTTAACTGCATCATTTATGATTTTGACATCTCTTACATGTTTTTTAATGAATCTGGTTAATTCTAACTAGCTAGTTGATATTGTTATTTTTTATATTTCTTGATCAACATATGTAGGTCATGATAATACTATGTTCACTTAGCTTTGCTTAATCTGACATTGTTTTTTGTTTCTTTTCACGCAGCTCTTTTAATTTACATTTGCAACATAATTTATCAAAAGAGGAAATTGACAACCCAAAGAATTTGAAATTCAGCTGGGATGTACCAGTTATTGGTGTCTCAAATTGCAAATGGATAGGAACTGGAGAAAATATCTTGGAGGTATATAGTGCTATTGGTATACGCAGGATTTCCTGTCTCTGCTGCCTCATTATAAAAGTTCAAATATAGCACGGTTTTATAACCACATGCTGACCAGTATTCCTTATCATTAAGGAATGGGGAACGATTATCTGGGACACATCAATACAACTTTTTTCTTCTGCATATTGATGCCCTAGAATAGAGAATTTTACATGTTAGATGGAAAATAACAAGCGCGCCTTATCAAAAGAATTAGTTGTTGACTATTTGATAACATCCTGATCATTTTTTCGTGGGATAACTTTCCAAGTTGTCAATAGTAAATTGAACCAAAGACGTGTTGTTTCCTGCCTTTTAAAAGACTTTGATTAGTTGTCCTTGCAGTCAAAATAAACAATGCAGTGGTTTGTTTCAAATAGAATAAGCATCTTTTGACGGATAAAATTTTCCGTTTAATGTTAGCTTTTCCCTTTTCTGCCTAATAGGAAAAAAAGACTTGGTTGTTGGTTATTATTTTAAACTCCCCTGTCATTAACATTATGCACGGTTTTGCTTTGTTGAATTTTATACAACAACCACAACCAAGCCTTATCCCACTAAGTGGGGTCGGCTACATGGATCAATTTCCGCCATAATGTTCTACCCATTTGTTGGAATTTTATATTATTTATTTTTTGGCACATCCAAGAAAAATCATAATCTTACACCGGCTTACAAAAGATGTTCTTCCTTCAACTTCTGTTGCCTCAAGTACATATTACATTCCTTGCTGCTTTCTCTTCTAGGATTTTGATATCAACTCCTGTCCTGGTCTGAAGACAAATTTACATGAGCATTGGATGGATGTGTCCAAGACATCTGGAGGCAAGGATATTAATTCACCTAAACAGCAGATGTTTTTCTCCCTTTGTAAGTTGTTGAAATATTTTTTGTATAGTGCTCTGTATTGTTATAGCAAGATTCACTAAGTTGAGTTGATGTTCCTTTTTTGCATTATTTTTTTGATTGTCGTCTGTTACAGGGGATTTAGGCATAATGTGGCACATTTGTATATGACATAATTTTAACTTTGATTTTTATAATCCTTATTTGGACATTCACGTCATGTTGACTTGGTTCCAGGCAGCAGCTATCGGGATATACTTCACTGTAACAAGAGACCATTCTATTTAAAAGGCCTTGAAGACATAAGCATCATGGATGCATACATAGTGCATTCTGTAAGCAAATTTTCATTTCATTCCTATATAAAATGTGGGGATTGCTTACATAATTACTTAATAACTGTTTTGCACAGCTAAATCACGTCTTCAGAACTAGAGATTGTGTTAAAAAGAATGATGCTAAACTGTCTAGGCTTGAAGAGGGTGCTGATAGTGAGAGATTCCGAGATCAAGGGTTTCTTCGTCCTAAGGTAATGGATCTTTTGTCTTGACTGTTTCCTTATGGTGGATGATTTTCTATTATAATTGAATTGTTCCATTGGTATTCTCTTAAAATGTACTCAAGTTTTACTTGAGAAATGTGAAGGATACTTAACAGATTTTTTTTCTGTTGCGTGATCCAGGTTTTAATTTTGTTGCCATTGGCAAGTATTATGTACCGTGTTGTAAAGAGGCTTATACAACTTACACCTTCAGCTTACAAGGTAACTTAGTGTTCTACTTTTAAAATTTATTTCTAATGTTGTCAAGCTAACTATGCTCTTGAGCATGACATAATATCGATGCTTGTTCTAGACTCTGAGGTGTTGCTTTCAACCCTTAAACTGGGCATTCGGCTGACCTTTTTTTGCACATGTTATTTTAATGAAATGGCCTATTGGTTAGATTGTAATGCTCTTAAATTCAGTCAGTTATCCTTATTTGTGCTTATATTTCGGGATACAAAATGCTTTCACTGCTTGTTGTTGTCATGAAATAGTGCTGTTGTGAGAGAAAGAGAGGAGTTAACTTTAATTTTTCTTACCATAAAGAGTACAATGCATCAATATGAATGTATGTGTCCAGGTTCAGATTAGTCTTCCTAGTGAACTGTGACAAGACAATTAGAGTTAGTTATACTTATTTGTGCTTATATTTCGGGATACAAAATGCTTTCACTGCTTGTTGTTGTCATGAAATAGTGCTGTTGTGAGAGAAAGAGAGGAGTTAACTTTAATTTTTCTTACCATAAAGAGTACAATGCATCAATATGAATGTATGTGTCCCAGGTTCAGATTAGTCTTCCTAGTGAACTGTGACAAGACAATTAGAGTTAGTTATACATTTTCTAACACCAATGCATATTATTTATTCTAATGTATTTCAAATTGCAACTAGAGTAAAGTCTTAAGACCAGCAATTGAACTTTATTGCTAGACTCTTTTATGCCAAGTCTATGAAAACTGTAGAAACTAGGGATTCTAAAACTAAGCAGGAAACAAAACTATAAACTATCTAGAAATGATAAACATTTTTTTCTTCATTTATTTGATTCCTTTTCCAAAAAGCAACGCATTTACATTTACAAATAGTATATCAAAATATTCAATAAAATATTTTAACCAATAGTCTCTGGATTGAGACTATTTTGTTAAAAGGGGTTTGAATTGTGAACACCTTTACAATTGATATGTACGTAAAGGTAGATGATTCCTAAGTTGAATCTTTAAAGTAGAGGGATGTTGTAGGGATGAGTTGAATCTTGATTTGTGTTTATAAGTGGGGGCAATCCTCACCTTACAAACTGATTTTGTAGAGATGAGTTAGATCCAACCCACACATTCTAAGATGGTATCAAAGTCTATCCTAGATCGCTTGATGGGCTTTCCGCAACGTCCGTGCTTCAGCCTCATTGAGGCCCAAGCGTGAGGGATTGTGTTGGAATTTCTGCCTTCATTACGGTCAGCCCCATAGTTGCCTAAATTGCGGTATTTGGCTTGCCTTCATTGCAGCCTCCAACACCTTCATTGTGTTGGGTTTGAAGGGGTGGAGTTAGTCCCACATTGCTTAGACATATGACATGTGTTGTGTTTATAAGTGTGGGGGTAATCCTCACCTTACAATCCGGTTTTGTAGGGATGAGTTTGGCCCAACCTACACATTCTAAGACATTTGCGGTCACTCAACGCCATTTTATTCTATTACACTTCTCTTGAGCTAGGTTAAATATTCTAGTGGCAGTTTGTAATATTAGTGTATGTTTTCTCAGGTCAATGTTGAGCATATGGATCGTTTTTCCACTAAATTTGGAGGTGAAGAACATAAAGGTGACAAGGAAAATGGCGAAGAACCTGAAAATGCAGACGCTCAGAAGTCATCCAAACCGGACGACTTTCAATTACTTTTTGAAGGCAATAATGAGGATGACTTTATGATTGGTATCAAATTTACTAGGTAATCACACTCCTATCATGATGAGCATTGTTTATTCTCTTTCGAATCCTACTCCAAGATTTACTGTGAAAGCTTGTAGAAGTCCCTCATCAACATCTATAATTATAGTCAATATAATTGTTATTTGTGGTTATTTTTTTTAATTGTTAAATGGATGATGGTGATGTGATTGTTGGTGTAAGCATAGTTCGTTTTCCGAAGTCTAAATTATATCAGTGGCCGATCTACTTTAATAACTATTTTTGGTAAATGTTTACTTTTATAACTTCTATCAGGAATCATGTTCGTAATGTACGAAGACCTAAAATTATTATTTGATATCATATGGATTATGCCGTTCCAGCAGCTGCTTCAGTATCATCATATATAACACTACAATAAATAGTAGAAGTTTTATGAAAAGTTTTTCGTTCTAAGTTTCTGTTTTCACCTTTATCTATGGAAGAGGCCTTGTTGATTTCACTTTGTTTCGTACTATCAAATATTTGTGTAGGAAATAGTAAAATAATGTTTTTATTGTTTGTTATTTCCTACACAAATATTTAAAAAACAAGAAACAATAGGAAATCAAGGTGGTTTTTTTATAATTAAAAGTGGAATAAGAAATTGAAAACAAAAATGTTTCTGCCTGAGTTAGTTTACTTACTCAAATCAATTAAAAAATTACCGTTTCCCATCTTATGTTTTTTCATACTCAAGAGTGTTATTCCGATGACTGGAAATTTCTTTTTTCTAATTTTATATTTCTTTTTTCTTATTTTATATTTCTTTCAGCCTAATTCAATATGCATTTATTATCTTATTTTTAATATAAGTTTTATGTTTCGATCCTTGCAGGAAGACGATCAAGTTGTTCAGTGATTTCCACACGTCTGACTTAATTATTGCTTCACCACTTTGTTTGGTTAATGTAAGCCAATTTTTTCTTTCCTTTTTCATTTTTTTAGTTTCCTTTAATTCATATTTGACTATGTTGACCTATTTTTGTTCTTTTTATTTATTAGAGTTTGTTAATGTATAGTTCTAGCTTCTATGTTATCCTTTGTATATGCTGTGTAGCTTAATGTGTACTAAGGCTAGTCCAACTGTTGACAGTTGTCACAAACTGTTTACTACCTCTTTGTACTTAAGTAGGCGTTCTCAGCCTATTCAGTTCATAATAACATCTTACCAAAGTTAATCTCAACTTATACCATTTTCTGTTGTTTAGAGGGGGGAGTTGAACCCATGACCTCCTTATCACTCCAATCCCTATGTTCCTCTCCCAAATTTATGATTCCCTATTTTTCAGTTTCTTTACTTTCTGTCTCTGTTCATCTCTCTGAGTATGAACCCTACATCCAATTCTTACAGAGTTGTGATTGATTCATTCAAGTTTTGCTTGGAAAAATCATTGTTGATATCAAGTTTTTGTACAGGCCAGTGTCGAATAGTAGTCATGGAGAAGAATAATGATAGAAACTGGTACCAAACAGAGAAATTCATAGTAATTATAATGAGTTCCCATTAAATTACAATGAGAAATGTATAGAAATATCTCAACAATTACTTCGCCGTATATTTGGTTCCTCCGTATGAATTTAAATTGGTTATTATTAATAATCCTCTCAAGCTTGTGCAGTTTTGCTGAATATATTTTTAATGTATTACTTATATAAGCTAACATCAGATTGGTCTGAATTTTAGAAAATTGAAGAGACTGGACGCGACAAGGAAAAAGATGTAGATTTTCTTTCGTCCATAGAGGTGATTGCCATACTCATAATTTTTCTATTATACTCCATATGTGGATAGGCAGATTACCCTGTATATGGATAATATCGTATGAAGTTGATGAAGTGTGTTTTTCTAAGCAGGTTCTCATTATTGATCATGCAGATGTAATAGCAATGCAGGTTTGTATTGTTTGTTTAAGTTATTGTAACAAACTCACTTTACCAATTATTTTACTACAGTACGAATTCTGTTTCTCATTATTGTCAAAACTTGTCAGAATTGGTCTCATGTGCATACAGTTATTGAACACTTGAACCGCTTACCATCAAAGCAACCCAGAACAGATGTTATGCGCATTAGACCATGGTATATTCTATTTTAGCTTTTCTTCATTGAAACTGGTTTTTTTGTGCTTCCCACTTCCTCCTTGATCAATGTAAAATTTGTATGCTTGTTTTGCATTGTTATTTTAATTTGGCATATGGCAAAATTATTGTCACTGACTAAAATTGTGAGACCATTTATTTATTTTTTTCTTTTATAAAAACAATAAATTATCTTACAGCTAAAACAAAAAAGTTAAAATAAGAGAGGAGGATAAGATATCCTTCTACTCATAAACTAAACGAAAAGGGTTATGGTAAGTGTTTATCAATCCCCAATATTGGGATGAATGAGTGATGACCTTAAACTCTATAGGGTGTTCGTGTTGGCATATTAAATGGTTGGATGTCCATCTAGTCCACAATTTTTTTTGTTTTTTTGTTTTTTTTTGCTTTTATTAGAACTGCTTTGAAACACAAGTCTGTAGTAAAAAACAAACACTATTTGTGTGTTATCTCAGTATTATTTTTTCCTAAGAGACAAGACTTGCACTCACACACTTGTGTAGATGCGTGCAAATTAGAAAAATCAGTACACTTGAGTCACAAGGTCTTCGAATTGGAAAGCTACAAGTATGCAGTGTATATGCCACTATGGGTCAAAAGAATGCAATTTAGTTTAAGTGAAAAATTTATTTTGGCTGAAGCTGGGTTAGTACAAAAGATCTCATGCCTGTTGTTATGCATGCTATTTGTATTCTCTATATGATTTCTACTCAGTTCGGTGGCACATAAAGGACTGCCCTTCTTTTTTAATTCATTGTGTTGGTCTATCTAAAATATCTCATGAAACCTTTGATATCATGTTAGAGTATCTTAAGTTTATTTCCTAGGATTAGTTTTCTATTTATTATTATCATGGTTTGTTTCTTGATTTCCCTATTTAATTAGGATTAGGAATTTATTAGTCTTGTATGCCTATATATATATATTTCACGAGAATCCTATTTCTTCTTATTCTTCTTTTATCAGAAAGTCATAATTTCAATACTTTGCTTATGTGTTGCATGAACTGCATAGTACACTCAGATTGTTATAGATGATGGGGTCTGAAGTGAAAATTGAAATACATTCCCTTAAAAATATTGAGATACATAACTTTGTATTCCTTGTCTAGGTATCTTGATGAGCATGCCAGATTTTACCGGCAAACAATAATTCTTGGGTTTTTCTCGAATCCAGGTGATGAATTTTCCTTCTTGTTGGCAAATATTTAAAGAACAATTCACATTTTCCCTGTTTTTTCCTTCTTTGGAGAAAACCACATGTAACTCTTATCGTGGGCAAGGGTCTTCCAATTCTTATTTAATTAGGCTTTTGAGTAACCGTGGTAGATGTTAATATGATTGAAAAATGAATGTTTCTTTTCTACACATGGTGAGTCATCCATATGTTATTTTTTGTAAGATTCGTTTCATCCATTTGAATCTACACAACAATCATCATGATAGTCTATTTCCAATTATATATTGTTGATGTTTTTGGGTCTGTTTGGCTAGAGAAAATATTTGGTTTTTATTTTATGTCATCAATTTTGATTGCAAAATTGCCCCCTTGAGGGGGATTGTTGGTTAACCTGTGGTTTATTTAACCGAGTTATACAGGGACTAATTCATTACTAGTATTGCTATAGAGTCCTTTTCTACTTGCATTATGGAAACATGGCCTAACATATTATAACCTCCATATTTACTTGTAGATATAAACGCTTCATTCAATCATCAATGTTCTAATTATGAAGGGAAGGTATGTAGCATATCTGGTTGCATTTTCTATCTATTTTATTGGATTCAAGGTTTCAATTCAAGATGATTAAATGTATGTCGAGGCTGAGAAGTTCTCACCGCATCAAAATATCCCAATGTTTCCTGGTCTTTTGTGTTATTTTATTCTTATATATACAATTCAACTCAAGGGCATAGTTGATATGGCCCGTTATGCGTAGAGAACATTGCAATGAAGTGTATGGTTTGAAGCAATTGGACCAATTAAAATAATTATATTTCTGCTTTGTATATCTTCATGTAATTAGTCTTTTTAATTGTTATTTGCAGGTGAAGCTGATGTGTGAATATAAAGGTGTTCTACACAAAGTGCTCCCTAAAATTCAACAGGCATGCTTTCTTATAATTGCTTGCTATTTGTGAAAGTAATGTGCATTTGGTGCTTTTATGCTATTGCAAGTTCTATTTGATACATGTTATGCATTTCATATTGGAAGGAAGCAAATTTAGGGTTTAGTGTTTGGGGACTAGGTTTATTTCGCTAATCTAGTAGGCAATATTGTTGCACCTCAATTTCCTTTGATCTCATGTAAAATGATTTTCACTGTTGAATTATTACTCGATTTTTCATTAAAAAAATGCTCATTAGTGGTCTAAGCCTAACTCACGCCTAGTAGCTAGCTTAAGAGGTAAGGATTTTTAAATTATTGCATATTGTTAATTACATTCATGATTTATTTGTCTTTTGTTCATAATGGGGGTTTGTTGAGGGTACTCATAAAGTCTTTTTAAGTCCATGGGGAATTAATTGAATTGTTGCTTGTAGTTAAACCTGACATATAACTGGAGAATGACTGTTTTATGATAACACATCATATAATTATGCTATGTTGGCTGAATATTCGTTCGTGTCATGATTAGTTTGTTTAATATACTAATATTCCGTCTTTGTTAAATTTTATTAAGAGTTCAGGCTTTTCATTTTTCTTTGTCCTGTTTTATCAGTATTAATTCAGATATATCTCTGCAGGTTTGCTCCTTCTCTTTATTCTATTCAGATAATACTTATTCTATATCTTATCTTGTAGGTTTATGTACGATTTAATATAGACTCAATAGTAGATGCTGATGACAACCGTTTTGATTATTTTGTGAAGAAGGTATGCATTCTGGAATCATGCTTTTGAAAATTGTGTTGCGTTCAAGTAAATTAGTTGACCACTTGACCATTCTTTCTTTCTCGGAATTTGGCTCAAAGTTTGAAGTAAATAGATGTGATTTTGCAACATTTTAGACTGAAATTCCATGAATGATAATATGCAAATCAAATTGAATAAGCAATGATTCAGAAGGCCTAAATGAATGGTCATTATTTGCTTGTTCGTTATAATTTATGACACATTATGTGAATCATTCTTGCAGGTTTTCCCAAGAATAAAAGATTCTGATGAGGTTAGGTTTTTAATAAGCTTCATTTTTTCTACCACGCATGCCTGTGATAATTTAAATTTATATAAATATATTTAATGATTTTTTAATGAAATCTTCGATGCAGGGAGGGATCATGCTATTTATCAGTTCTTACTTCGAATTTATTCGAATCCGAAATTTTTTAAAGTCGCAGGATGCCTCTTTCTGTTTGCTTGGGGAGTAAGGAGCCATTTCTATTATTGTGCCATTATAGCTTTAATTTTATCAGTGTGATTTTTATTTAATCATAACTTCATAATGCGTTTTCGCAAAATCTTAAAATGTAGTTCTCATGTTCCATTGTAATTTATTTGTGGATCTTTTTGATTTAGGTATTCAACCCAAAAAGATATTTCTCGTGCGCGTCTTTGGTTCTTTGAAGGGAAGAGAAAAATCATGCTTTACACAGAGAGATCTCATTTTTACCACAGATATAAGGTTGTGTAAAGTGAAATAGTTTTTTTTTTCTCCCTCCCTTTCTTATAGTTAGTTTCTTTAGTATTTAATAGTAATATGTTTTGGTGGTTTTAAAATTATTCTTAAATGCTCTTACTTTCCTCTTGCTCAACCCTTATATTGATGCAAAATTGACAAGTTCAGTTTACTTCATCACAGATTCGCGGGGTTAAGAATTTAATCATGTATTCTCTCCCAGAGAGGAAGGAGCTTTATCCTGAGGTAAGCGGGCTTGTAAATAAAATAGTATATTTCTCATGGTCGAAAGTCTTGGAATTACCTCAGTCTAATTCTTTGATCTACTCTAAGAAATTACAATCAAAAAGCACTTTATTCTTTTTATTCTGTTTATATAGCCTATTAATGAAGAAAATTTAATTTAGGGAATCTTTTTTTTTCTGTTGATTTGCTTTGTACTATTTTATTCTCATTTTACCCTTTCGAATGAGACAAAGTGAAAACAAATTCTTAAATCTCAGGTCTCATTCTTTCCACTGACATTCATCATTTCCATTGCAGATTGTAAATGTGCTTGATGGGTCTGAAAACACTGCATGTACCGTCCTTTTTTCGCCCCTCGACAAGTTTCGGGTAATGGCTCTCTCTCTTTGATGTCCCCTCAGCATTATGCTACTTGATGGAATGCAGTTTTATATTAATATTTTTGAATAGAAAGGTGATTGATTCTAGAGAGCGATTGTCAGAATTACGTTGAGCCATAGTGATTTTGGCGATAGCTACACTTTGTAGCTTTAGCCAAATCACGGTATCACCGTAATTATGCCAAACCCACTGCCCATCCAAACATACACTAATCAATTGGTGAATTGTCCTTCCTGATTTATTTTCTTACATTGTTGGATGGAAGTTGTCTTTTGCAGTGCCTGTTTATTAAATTTATCTTTGCAGTTCTAGTAATCTTGTTTTCCTTTTGATTTTCTTCCCTCATTATTTCTCCTTTCTTTTCATTTTGGGGACTACATTTTAGCTGGAAAGAATAGTTGGAACAACTCCTGCGAAAACCATGGTGGCTTCAGAGAAACCTGTTTTTGTTTTTTGCGAATAAATTTCTGATGTACTCCAAGGTTGTAACAATGCAAAGCAGCTTGCTTCTGAAATTAATAGGCTCTTGGAACTGATTTCTGACAAGAAGATATAGTCAATTTGGTTTTTCTGAGGGTGGTTGAAGAATAAAATGATGTCGGCTCTTACTGAACAAAACTCTGGAGGATAACTTTTCCGTTGGGAGTTTTTTTTCTTCCTCCTAATCCATCTTGGTTTTATTCAGTTTATAGATTTTTTTTTTTTTTTGTATACTTAACATGCATGCAGAAGTAATTTAAAAGGAACAATATTTAAAATTGCCAGGGTCAACTTGGTATTAGGTGATATTTATTCACAGAATACATTATACATGCTATAGCTTGGTGATAAAATATTTATTTCTAGAAATTTATTATATTTTAATGAATGTAAAATGAAATCAATTGATTGGTCTTTACTTTTATTTGATCTTACCGAAACTTGAATTGGTATATTAGCTTTAGAAAACATTTACAAGCTACTTAAACTAAATTTCTTGATGATTCCGTTTGAATTTCCCTAAATTTGTATGTAGGGTTTAATGTGTTTGTGATATTTGTTGACATTAGAATAGGGTTTCTTTCAACCAGCAATTGGAGAAAACAATCTTTCGCAGTATATTTTTCATTTGCAAATAAAAACTCATAAGTCTAACGCCAGGTTTAAATTAGAAAATACTTGCGATGCCAAAAAATGCGTTAAAAGATTGTAAACATGTTAATTGTAATCTCCCCTTTCTCCTGCAAATTAAAAATGAATTGTGGATTGTTGGATACACTTATGAGTTACTCACACAACGGTAATATTTTAAAAATAACTTAAATTTGGATTTTAAAATTTGTACTCACTTAATACACATCACGTCATTTTTGGAGCACGGCAAAGTTAGATATCAAAAAATTAAAATTATGAACTTCAATAGTAAATTACAGATTGAACTCTGGATGTACATAATATATGACATGACACCCATAGTCAATTTTAAAATTACATTATTCAAAACTACTACGTATAATTATGATCTTTGGATTCCGTATAGTAAATAAAGAAGATTGAATTTTTGAATGCACCTAATATATGATGACACCCATGACAAATTTTAAGACCACACAATTTAAAACTGCTACGATTTTGAAGTTTAGATTTTTTATGGAAATTTTGAAGTTTAGTTTTATGATTTTAAGCTCGGCATCTTCGGGACCACTATACCGGTAATTGATGTTATATTGGAGTTGAGGTATGATTTTAAGCTCGGCGTTGTCTAGATCACTGTGTCGGTGGTCGACGCCATATTGGAGCTGAGATATTAGAGTTTGTAAAACCATGCAATTTCTTTAGTTTTAATGCATTTGAGATAAATTGTTAAGGACTGACAAAGAAAATGATAGTTGGCTGTTGGATCACATTAACATGCTATTTTCTTGCCACACTCCACACTGATGACTCGTTGACGTAGTCCGTAGTATTTGTAACCACAAAAGGTTTTATGTGAATGAAGGATATAATACACGTCATGATTCAATATTGGTTAAATTTTGTTGGATGGAGTCATATTCAAATGCTGCATCTGGAATCATGCATTTTCTTAAAATGCATCCGCATTTTAAGGAATTAGTCATTAACCCGAGAGTCGTTTTCAAAATATATTTTAAAATAAAAATCATACAATTGATTTTGCCCAAGTGGGTGAATGTTAGATTTATCTAACTTTTTATGGGCTACAATCAACTGTTGTTTAGTTTGTGAAAAACGGTTTAATCGTGATTCTGATGGGGGTGCATATATAAGTCATGTTATTAGTTTAGTGATCTCTTTTATAACTAAATGATGGGTATCTGAAATCTGATTGGTGTGGGTAAAAGTGTGGGCTTTGACCTTAGGTCCATAATGGGTAGAGACTAGGGTTATGTATATTATATGGCAAGGTCCTCTCTGTAATCACAAAAATCAGAAAGATAACTGACGGCTCCACAACTTGCCCCAATGAGAGTTGTGAACGGGAGTGTGAGATACAGAGAAAGATCCAGTCATTCATCTTTTCGAGATTCCGAATCATGACTTCAACAAGCATTGATGTTCTAATTTCATAGAATCGACAAATGAATATTTCCGCTTACATTTTCATTTTTATTTTCATTTATGCAAAAGAACAAATACATAAAAATATAGAGCTTCTTCTCATTTGTGTTTACTGAGCATGTTCTCCTCATTTTCAAGCATTTTTCAAAAAATTTATCCATTGCATTGAATATTATCACGCCCCTATTCTACTTCATTGCACGTATATGAAGTTCCACTCTATTCTCTGGTTCGTCTTTCTGTTTCAGTGAAGTCCGAGGATTGGAATCCGGACCCTCAGATCGAAGATTGGAATTCAGAATAGTTTGTTATCTGATTTTTGGTTTATTTCTATTTGTGCTTGTTTATGTTTTTATGTCATGACATCTCCTTATTATGCTTGTTTGATTGCAACATAAGTCTGATAAGCAGGAAAGATTGAGACTTGGTTGAGTGACCTAACATCCTTCCATTTGCAGGGAGAAAGCTAGACCCTCACGACCTACAATTGGAGAGACTTCTTTTGCTGGCGAGGGACCTTTTTTTTCCGGGTTCATGTGTCCCCAACATCCTTTTTTTCTGGATTCACGTGTCCCCTTTTGCCTCAGAAATCACTACTACTCCATATGCCCTAGAGGGTTTCATAGATGCCCTTCAAATCTTTCATTGCTTTATCTGTATCTAGACCATGCAGCTAGGCACATGTGGGAAAGAGAGGTAACACAAATCTTTTAATCACTCTTTTAAACACTTGTGTTATAATATTTGAAGTGTCTAACAGTGTATTTATTTTTTGCAGTACTATGATACATTAAAATATATAAGCCATGATAAAAAGGTTGTAAAGCTTATATCTATTGTATGATTTATGCATGACAATATATGATTATATTAATCATGACTCATTGTTTGTTTTTGTGAAAAGATGATGCGCAAAAATGTTGTCATTTCATCTTCTAATCGGTGAGATATCCATGTGTCATGCCTTCTACATATTCCATTCATAGGAAAATTATTGAACTACTCAAGAACCAACATACCTGACGCACTGAACATAATGAAGACATATTTAAGAGCTGACCATGGAAAAATATAACAGGGGATAGATGACATCAGAGGATGTCATGCTAGGATTTCATTTTTGATGGATATGTATGGACACCATTAGACTGCAACTGTGGATGCTGATGGTGACGATGCATTGGTTGCACAACACAGAGCATGTTCATTAATGCAATTCTTATTGGTTTTGGTCGACACGTCCATTTTTATGGATAAAAGTTCGAGTTATATCAATGTTATCTACCTTATATATTTCATTGACTTAGAGAGGATTCACAAGTATAATTGGTTTTTTTTGTCAGCAGTACCTCTACATCAAACTAGCTGAGAGTAATTTATAGAAGACTCAATAGTTGACAAGAAACAACTATATATTTATGATAACTGCTGATCTAACCTGTTGATCATAGTAGGTGAGTGGCCAACAACACGTCTGCGGTCTTGAATGGTCGAAGAAAAGGGGAGTGTACCTGCAGGCACTCCGATGCTTAAGTTAGTTCGGGTGAAGAGGTGAGTAAGAAAGGGTAAAAAATAGAATACTTGACCCTCATGCGGATGAGGGTTTTTATAGTGAACCCCTAGCACTTGGCCAACGGTCCCCGTTATGGGCTGAGTATTCAAGCCCACAACGGATGAATTCCAAGATTCCCACGTGAATGTAGGGATGAACAGCTCATGCTCATCATCCTGGGACAACCGCTCTGCACTCCTCGGATATCAGATGGACTTGCCCGTTACGAAAGACAGAATGACTCTGCGAGGTGTGCGGGTCAATTCATGACGTATCCCTGGCCGAGGAGCATGTGGGGAACGTGTTCTCTACTGGCCCCAACGGGTTGGGCCAACACTCTCGCCCGTCCTTGACGTAGAACTAGATTGGGCTGTGCTCGATGTTGGGGCAGCCACAAGCCCAGAACAGGAGCCCCTCCAAGTCGTTGCCCCCAGGCATGAGGTTAATGACTTAGAGCCAGCTCGTGTGTCGAGGAGGAGAAAGGGACTCAACGCGAGGTGTGCCTTCATTTAGGCTCGTGATTGTGAGCTCGCGTTGCTGTGGACATTGTTCAAGAGTTCGCGCCCATGGGGATGATGCTTTGCTCATAACTCGTCGAGTTTCTCTCTCGAGGAAGATGCCTCGCGCAGGGACTGCTGTCGAGAAATATGCGTCATGCAGGGATTGTGGTCTAGAGATTAACCTGCATTCGCTTTTGACTTTGTTCGTGAGTTGTCAAGATGCTCGTAAATTTGCTTCAAATTTTTCGCCGGGGCCATGCTCGCGAATGGATGCGAAAGTTCATCGCTTGCATCTGACAAAGGGTGCTCGACATCTTGGAGTTCGGAAGGTTGACGAGACTTGAAGAGACAAACGTTATGTCTCCTTGAGTCACGTGTCAGATTCATTTAATGCATAATGGTTGCCTATGAGTAGAGGTACTCATGATCTAGGTGGCGACACGTTTAACTATGCCACAAATTTGGCTTATAAATAAGAAGAAGTGGACGACCATTTGCACATTTCACTTCATTTTTCCCTTTCCTTTCCTTCGAGCTTCAGGAATTGTCTCCGCTGTCTGCTGTTGTTGCCGTCACCGTCACCAACCTTCATTTAATCTTCAAATCAAGTAAGTTTCTCTCTCTAATCTTCAGAGCACTGCATGATGGTTTTAAAATGTAGGTTAGTTCTAGAATGTAGCTTTGCTTTATCTCCATGCTTTGTTCTGAAGGATGTTAGTGTTTGGTGGTGGTTTGGCCATTTCCAAACACTGGCGGTTAGAAGGTTTTTATGTTAGAATCCGCAGTTTTGTGTAAGAAAATTAGTATTTGTATGATATTTCTTTGGAAAACCACTCTGGCGCCACCGTTAAG